AATAACAAGACAATAACACTCTATCTAATCATAAACAGAAAAATGCACATACATAATATAAATTAATGTAAATCAAATACAAAATAAATACATCAAAGCACCTATTAACTTTCCATAAAGCTGCTCAATCACAAGAAAGAAATTATTTCTATGACAATAATGGTATCGATTTTAAGCAGTTTCTTTCTACACCTATTTACTTTTTTAAACTTGGTTTCCACCGACGAATTACACTTCATACACTCAGAATTTCAAAATTTTCACCATAAACAAACGACACTGTATCAACATTTTACACGCCTTCACATTAAAGGAAACAAGCAAATATTCTTATCTTTATGAAGACACATTTGGAACACGTAATCGCTATTAAACAAGAATCAACTAATCTCATCCACAACTTTGAGTCAGTCTAAGTTCGTAAAAAAAAAATATATGACCAAAGCAAAATTAAAAAATAAAGAATAAAACAAGCCCCTGAACATCAATATGAGTTTATTATGACACTTGGCCATGTTTGTCACCTCCATTAGGCATGCAACAAACTATGCAGCAGCAGATTTCAAAGGGATTTGAGGTCTATGTGGCTCCACCTCAAGCAAAGTAGAAAAGGCGGATTTTTCAGTTTGGCATCTCAGAGTGAGGTAAATATCAGCCTGCTAGAGGCAACCTAAAGCATTTTTTGGTATATACAATCTTCTTCCTCTTTAATTTCCATTATACAGGACTCATTTCAGTCAGATCATCACTGTCTTATGTGTTATGTTTTTAACACACATAAAAAGTAAGAAGAGAAAATAAACACAAAAGATTACATAACCACAAAAAGGAGTTGTTTACATTAATAGTATATTATTGCACAAAGCCTTCAAAAACATGCATAAAATCATATACATTTGAAAAGTAACTCGCCTCACTGCAATTATAGAAAAGAGGCACTTTTACTGCAGAATATACATTTAATGACAAAATCATATACATATACCACACAGACATACCTTGACTCTGTTTCCAGTGCTGTTGGCCAAGGACTGAAGCAAGTGCTATGGGACAACAGAGCAAAACAGGAAGTAAAAAATAGGATGGCAAAAGCAGTGCACCTAAACTATGGTAGGGCAGCACCACAGATTGAATAGGAATACAGCAAAAAAGCATTCGTCTTTATACTTGCTGACAAAAGCTTCCATCAATAAATAAATACAAACTGTAATACACATATGTACACTATCTTTGTATATTACAATATACATCACCAGCTTTTACCTCATTCATTTCTTCAAGTCAACAAATGAATATTATGCCTGAAGTCGATATTTTTCTTTGGTTCCCATGTTAATATGTATGTCTATCAGATCCAAACACTTTAGAATTATTTTGCAGTCTTGGCTCTATCTCTTCTTTATCGGCTCTCCATTTCTTGCAGTTTGTCTGAAGCCTCATTTAGAACATCTTCTTCTTTACTGCTGTGTATCTCTCCATGTACTGAAAACAGAACAGGGAATCATATGAAAAAAATATGCTGTCATTCCAAGCAATTTCTCCACAACTACCTCGTCCTATCAGGGTCTTTTAACAATTAGAAAAGGAGATAAATCAAAATAGGTACAACATGAAACAAGAATAACAATAAAGTATATTATTATAAGTATAATGCGTAAATGACTGTCCCTTCGTTATCATTGTCATAAATGAAACTTAACTTAATGTTGCTGGTATGGCAAGAAAACATGTCATGTCCACTGTGCCATCTATGTTAATGGTTAATGGTTGGAACAGATAAATGTGGTTGACATCAAATGCCCTATTTGTTAAATATATCTTAAGAGTCAATTATTAGTCCTACCTAGCTCACATGTTTGCCCCTTTCCTTAAATTTCCATAAATTTATTTCTTACTTACTTTACTTTATAGTATTCATAATAATAATAACAAAAATAACAACACTGATATCAATACCATCAGAAAAAAATATCTTCCGAAAAACTTGTTGTGGACACGTAGACTTACTAATAGCCTTCTTAGTGGCTGAGCACTTGTAGTCATATATGTGCAAAAAATAAAAATAATCCCATATTAACAAACATATATAAAAAAAATACTATAAGAGACAAAAAATGACAGAATTCTGACCAATTCTCACATGATTCCCTTCCTATTAAAAACTGTTAAACCAAGTCACTGGTATCAAAGGCTGTCTTATAATTTCCAAAAAAGTTAGTGATCTTTGATACCAGGTGAATATCGTTTATTGGTCATTTTTATTACAATAATATGTTACATATCAAGGGTGTACCTGTAGAAATATGAATAAAATCAAGCAGTTACATTATTTCCATTAGTAAATCAACATTGCAAAACAAAAGCTTTTGTCATTCACCCTGACAAGTTCTAGAAGACATCCAGGAAAAGTAGAAATTACATTTATATCATCAGGTGAAGTAATTAATGAATAAATAATTAAATACACAGTATATTTAGGAAGCAACTTTCTTTTTAATGACAACTAATATGCCAGTCAAACAACCCACTTATCAGCTAGAGAATTCCTAATGGCTTATTTTTCAATTCAAAAAAACAATTCCGTCATATATCAAACTTTTCTTTCCTTTACTTTACCTTGGAATGTCCCTCTAATTCCTCAAACTCCTTCATCTGGAACAAATTTCCTTCAAAGCACAGCAGTGAGACCTGGGAATCCTGCAGGAGCTCAGTGGGGATTCCGGTGAGAGCCAGACAGTTCTCCTCCAGGCGGAGGGTTTTCAAGCGGGGACACGATGCAATTGAGGGTGATATCGAGGAGACCTGGGGGGAAAATATATTTTGTCATAAAAAAAACAAACACTGACCCCACACATAGTGTCTTCACTGTACTTTTATCAGATTTCCTTTCGATTTTCCAATTAACAAATAACATTATACCTGATTCGTGTTCAAGTTAACTTCTACTGCCTGAAGATCTTCTATGCCATCAGGTATCTCTGTGATCTTATTGCCACTGATATCTAACACATCCAGCTGGGGCAGGCCACACAGGACCACCGGGAATTCTGTTACTTGATTATCACTGCCGGTACAAAGCATAATTACATCGTCTTTGTTTCATAGGCCTATGCATAAATAAAAAATAAAAGTAAATAACTGTCAGACAAATTCACATAGAACATATAAAACTTATTTCAGTATTTCATTTTATATCATCTTTGTTTTATAAACACAAAAGACAATGCAATTACTGAGATATAACTAACATAAAGGTGGCACATAAAATTTACTTCAGTTTTTTATCCTACTTTGTCAAAATGTCTTTCTTTCAGAAACTACAGTGGCATACAAATTTAAGATATAATCGTAATAGATATACAATATACTTTAACTTACTTCTTGCTACGTCATGGGCAAAAGTAAAAAACAAAATATGATGTAATGGAATTACCTTTTGGATAATGAATACCTTTTAGAAAGCAGGTTACTATCAATTACTCAAACCAACAATTTACCTGATTATGACTGACTTCAAATGTTTTAGGTTTGACATTGAAGGAGGCAGACTAGTAATATGATTGGACACCAAGGACAAAGACTCGAGCTTTGTCAGACTTCCAATTTCTTCTGGGAGGCTGCCTGCAAAATTATAGAAAAATTATCATAATTTCAAACTCTTTCAAACTATGTTAGAAATAAGAGTCAGCCTCCACTATACATACATATCATTTGACAAGCTCAAAAAGTACCATGATAAATCCAAAATACATGTAAGGCCAAAGGGTAGTTTATTCAACATGAAAAGAAACATAGCAACATCAAACTTCCACAAATAATCAATTTCCTCTTGCATCTTACCAATCTTATTTCCGTTCAAATTCAAATGCTTCAAGTTGGAGAGACTACACACAGAAGGTGGAACAGATGTCAGCTTGTTTGTCGAAAGATCAAGTGTCCGCAGGACCTTACTCATTGATGAGAGGTCTGGAATCTGAAGAGAATTATGTTTAGAATTTAGAATTATGTTGTTTGTTGCGAGGCGAGAAGTACTGGAATTAGTCGCTGGAAGGGTGTGGGGACTTAGTCTTTGTGGATCATTCAGCATGCCACTTTTTTTTTTGTTTAAGTCAAAGAGATTGGCTTCTGCAGATTAACTTTGATAACAATTATTGTAATTTTTCATTGTCTACAATTCTATGGTTTTCAATTTTCTCCTACTCAGTGCAGTCCTTTTGTATACCTTAACTAGAAAGACAATTATGAACATGAGACCACTGATAGGCAATTTCAAACTGATGTGTATTTGTTGAGAAAAGATCTAAAGTATCCCTAGATGTTCATTTTGCCTATAAACAACTGGCAATGAAACAATGCATAAGCATCATCATTCGTTGTGGGCAGGCAGGCTGTACCCAGCTTACCACAAATAAATCAGACCCCATCATCATAGGATTAAGTGACTTGCCAATCCTAATCTACAATGTTTTCATGTTGATTATTCTTTAGGGCATCTTGAAGGCAGTCACACATGGTCATGTGTGACTGCTATATTAGTTCCAATAAAGGATATAGCCTACATTGATGATGCTGGATATATAGTGAAAGTACCTCCAAAATTTTTATCAAAAAAAGAACCAGTTCCAGTTCTATCCTTCCACAATAATGTGGAGGATGTTTGTGTTTATTTTATTGTAGTGCCATGAAATGTAGTGGCAATGATAATCACTGTACACTCACTCTGTCATATACTAAAAACTGTAATGAAATCACACAGTTCACATTTTTATTTCCTATAGGACAGAGATCAATCATTTCATAAACAATTTCTCTCTACCCAATCCAGTGCTTCAATACTCCATGAGTAACCTAGACCTGTTAGGTGGGGACACTTTGGATACTTTGAAACCAAAGAAAATGAGCATGGAATTTATCATACTCACTTCAAACTACATGAGAAACTATGAATGCTACATGTGGAAATCATACTGTTATAAACAAGAATAAGATCATTTCATAAACAAAGGTGTTCATAATGAAGTCACAGATAAAAAATATCTTTAAAACTCAAGTAAATCTGCAAATTAACATATGAACAAATCATAAAATCACACTCTCTAAGCACAGACTTCACATGCTCAGGCATTTCTCTCATCACCCTCATATGCAAAATTACCTTATATTTCCTCCTCTTAGGATTACCAAGCATAACATATCATATCCCAGACATGTTTTACCCCTAGTCCCCATCCATTCCCCTGTATATTTGAATATTTGAATATTAAATAGTCCTTGATATCTCTCTATAGGTTCCTTTATCCAGGCCAAAAAATAAAACAAGGGAAGCACAAACTCTGTTTTTCATAAATCATCCCTACTCCTTCATTATTATTAAATAAAAAACGGTCAAAATAACTGTACATACTAACAAAATTCTCATTGAACACTGATTTCTACGTGCGTTTATTTGACCTACATATTACGCAAGGACTTATGGGGAACCCCCCGATAAATCATTAATGATTCGTCACAACGTCGACCAGATATGGAAGTTTGACATTTCCTCCTACCTCCGTTAATTTCCTGTTAGACAGCACTAATGCACCTGTCTTCTGTGCTGTCTCCATATGAGCTTTAACTCCACTTGACGATGTCTGTCCCATGATGTGGCAAGATCAACCAGGACGTAAAATGAGTAAAAGTGACACACTGGCAGACCTTCTGTCAGCTGGGCCAAAAGTGTAAACATTGGTGAAGCGACCGCCGGAGTATCCATTTTCTCCGGTAGTGGGGCGTGGTACAAACTTTTTTTTTCTAAAGGTTGATATGAGATACATCTAATAATAGTTAGATTAGATTTATGACAAAAAATCTATTTAATTACTACTATTAATGTCATCATAATGATAATGGTGATTGTTGTTGTAGCTGTTAGTATTTTTAATACAACTATCATTCTCATAATTTCAATTCAGATGATTATTAATGTCAGATTTGCTTTCATTATCATTACAATTATCATTCTTGTTGTTGTTATTACTATCATCTGGATTATCATCATTATTATTATTATTATTATTATCATATTATTATTATTATTATTATTTATTATATTATTATTATTATATTATTATTATTTATTATTATTATATTATTATTATTATTATTATATTATTATTTATTATTTCATTATATTATATTATTATTATTATTATTATTATTATTATATTATTATTATTATTCATATTATTATGTATTTTATCATTATCATTATGTTGTTGCATTATCATCATTATTATCATTTAGTTTTATCATTGTTATCATTATTTTATATTATTATTTATTGTTATTATCATTATAATTATTATTTATTATTGATTATTTTATTATTATTATTATTATTATTATATATTATTATTATATTATTATTATTATTATTATTATTATTATTATTATTATTATTATTATTATTATTATTATTATTATTATTTATTATTATCATATTATTATTATCATTATTATTTTCATTATTATTATTATTATTATTATCATTATTCATTATTATTCATTATTGTTATTATTATTATTATTATTTTATCATTATTATCATTCATGATTTATCATTATTTTATTACTATTGTTATTCATTATTATCATTATTAATTTATTATCATCATTATCATTGTCATAATGCTATTTATCAACTATTGCTATTGTTATTGTATCATTATCTTCATAATTGCAATTATCATGTTATTATTATCATTTTTATCATTACTACCATTATTATAATTATCACCATCATCATCATCATAATTATTTTCTACCATTATTATAATTATCATCACCATCATCATTATTATTATTACTATCATTATGATCATTATTGTCATTACTATTATCATTATCAATATCAATATCATAATCATCATTGTTATTAGCATTATCATTATTTTTGTTACTTTTATTACCGTTATTATAACTATCATAATTGTTATTACTATTACTGTTACTATAACCATAACTGTTATTTTTACTATGATTATTATTATCATTATTGCTGTTATTGCTATTATCATTATCACAGATGATTATTAATGTCATATTTAGTTTCATTATCATTATAATTATCATTATTGTTGTTGTTATTACTATCATCATCACCATTATTATTATTATTATTATTATTATTATTATTATTATTATTATTATTATTATTATTATTATTATTATTATTATTATTATTATTATTATTATTATTTTTATTATTATTATATATTATTATTTTTATTATTATTATTATTATTATCATTATCATTGCTATTATTATCATTGTTATTATTATTGTTATTATTATTATCATTATTTCTATTATCATCATCAGTTTCTTTATTATTATCATTACTGTTATCATTATCATTATTGTTATCATTATCATTATTATTATCAATATTTATATTATTATTATCATCATCATCATCATTACTATTGTAATTATTATTATTATCATTATCATAATTA